GTGGCTACCATAGAATTTAAGGAGCTCTGGTAGCATAGTGGTTACGAATTGGGCTGCGAACCACAAGGTCAGCAGTTCGAAACTACCAGCTGTTCCATGGGAGAAAGATGAGTCTTTGTGCTCCTGTAGATTTACAGCCTAGGAAACCCTGTACAGGGTCGCTATGAGTCAGAACTGATTCCATGGCATATAACAACCACCACCATAGAATTTATTTGGAATTTTATTCTGTCATTTGGGTTTTTGTTCTTGTGTTTTAGTGGTTATTCTAAATACCCTAATGAAGTTCAAATAGCCTTGAAACTAAAAGTTAATGCCATAAGCAAATAGCTCTATAGATGACAATATTATAGAAAATTCTGTTCCCAATGGAAGTTTCATTTTCAAAGCTCAAGTAACAAATGATGCATTTCTAAACTAAAGTTTCACCAGTCATTCCTTCCTACCTCATAATTCAAACTGCTTACAACCTCCCAGTTGTCAAGAATGAAGAGGACTGTCCCCCAGGCTTGAAATAACACAGGCATAGCCTTTTGAATGCTGGCTTTGACATTTATTTGTTTGCTCATCATTAAAGTAAGCATGTTTATTATACTTTTATAGGTACTTCACCCTGTTGTTGTAGGATTTTAAATAAGCACCTAGGGCAATACTTAGAAATTAATAAACAATAGTGTATTTTTATTATTTTGAGCACATTAAGAGCATCTGTGTATGTGTGTTTGTGTTTGTATGTGTGTGAGACAGAGATCTATATTTTGAAATATTTGGTGGTTTTGTTGTGGGGTTTTTTTGCCCAGTAAATTCTAAATGATCCACAGTAATGGAAGGGAGCAAAGGCATGAATTATTCAAAACAGTAAATCATCCAAAATCCATTTGTAATGTTTTTAAGGTTTTTTATTATTATTATTTTATTTCAAATGTGTTTCCAATACCCAAAGACATTACTTCAAATAAAGAGATCATACTATAATGTGAAGTCCTAACTAAAAGGGATCTGTCCAAATTTTCTCTCCTCTTTTCTCTGTCAAAAGACAGCTGCGACAACGAACTCACTTCAATTAAAACTCCTGACGTCTACCCTGCCCTTCACCAGGCCACCCAGAAGCGTTTCAACTTATTGCTTAGAGAGAGGCTGCACTCACCAAATAAAAGCACCAGTGCTCACAAAGCAAGTGACTTACTAAAGAAAAGAGCAAGTCCAGTCTGGAGAAACTGTGTAAAGTGGGGGTTACGAGAAAAGCTGTAGAATCTGACAGACTGGGGAGTCCTTTGCCTGGACTATGTGACCTTGGGCAAATTACTAACCTCTTTAAGGCTACAGTTTCCTCAATTTTAACCTGAAATGAGATTAGTGACCTCAAATGATTTATCAAAAATTAGGTTATGTTGTTGTTGGTAAGTGCCATCGAATCAGTTCTGACTCATAGTGAACCTGTGTGTATAGGGTCACCAAGGAGCAGTTTCTTGGGTTTGAACTGCCAACCTTATGGTTTGCAGTCCTGTGCTGATCTTAGAATGTCAAACATTAGGTTACGTATATGTATGAGGACTTCTGGTGTGATGCTGTAGGATCAGCACAGGACTTAACTACAAGGTTGGCAGTTCAAATCCACCAGCTACACATTGGAAACCCACCCTATACAGGGTCGCTATGAGTCAGAACCGATGAGACAGCACTTAACAACAGCAGCAATGTATGAGGAGCTTCAAAAAGTTTGTGAAAAAATTGAATTGAAATATAGTTCAATTTTTCCATGAACTTTTTGAAACCTCATCTGTGTGTATGCAAATATATCACTTAATACAGTACTCAACTCATGTAAGTATTCAATAAGAAGTTTAAAAAGTTAAAATATTATTTATTAATAATTTTTATCAATATGAGAATAAGTTTGTAAGCTGGGGTGTGCATCAGTGTAGATAAAGAAGAGATCTATATTACGTAGCTTTCCCTCTGGATAATAACTTCTTATTTACAAGTTGGTGTTTTCCTCTAGAGACCTACAACATCTTTTCTAGTGTCACCTTGTCTGGTATCCCCCTAGTCCTCCTAACATAGATACCTGCTAAATGAAGCTGTTTTCCTTTGTTGAGTCTTAAGGGCTATTGCTCTTTACCTTCCTACAGTAAGTAAAATCATCCTTCCGTTTTAGTAGTATTACAGGTTTGTCATACACACAAATAATCCAGACTAGTCTCACTGTACCTACACAAACACACATACACACAGTGTTCTCATCAATATTTTAACAGATAGCTGTAATAAAAATGATAGTGAATACTTACAGATCACTTCTAAATGGCAGGCACTTTTCTAGTCATGCCACAAATGATAGCTCTTTTACGTCTCATAATCACCCTGTGAGGTCAATGATATTAATTTTTACTTTTAGTAGATAGACCAAACCGCAGAGAAGTTAGGTCACTTCCAAATGACACAGGATAAATCACAATATATACAGTAAGGCCAGATGGCTGAATAATTTATTGACCATTCCAGAACGAAAGGGTCTAAAAAGCAGGGACAGAAGTTCACCCTGATTATGGTTGATACAAACATCATTTTTTAGAATTCAACAAATGAATGAGTTCTTATTATCATTCCATTTGGGAAATATATTTTTCTAAGATTCAAAGATAATTATTAAGCTGCTCTGAATAAGGTGTTGTTGTCATGTGCCATGGAGTCTTAATAACAACCCTGTACAGGGTTGCTGAGGCTATAAATCTTTACGGGAGCAGAAAGCCTCATCTTTCTCCCATGGAACAGCTGGTAGTTTAGAACTGCTGACCATAAGATTAGCAGCCTGATTAGTAACCACTACACTACCAGAACTTCTTTCGGAATAAGGTATTCTTACTTAATTAAAGCCATTCATTTTTGTGGTAAATAAAAGTGTGTTTGAATTTTCAACATGATGAATTTCATATCACGGTCACAGGTTTGGACCATATTTTCACATGCATCTATAACATTTTATGATAGAAGAGTGAACAAGGTACCAATGCATGAACTCACTGCTCTTCCTTAGTATCAGTTACTAGCTGCTGTTCTGTCTTTAACTTTAACACATGCACATGATAGAGACGTCAAGAAACAGACCTTACTGGGACACAAAGAGCGTGGCTTGTGCCTGACTCTTTATACAGATTAAAGCAGTACCTGACTCTCATAGGACAATCAAGATAGTTATTGACATGTGATTTCCTGACAGGGCTCACTGTTGTGAGAGAGAAAGGTAAAAGAATAGGTTTCTGGATTATGAATTCCTGGAAGGCACGGACTTTGCATATTATTAATGTCTGACCTTATAGTTATCTAGCTTGTTATTAAGTGTTGTCAAGTCGGTTCCAACTCATATCAACCCCGTATAGGGCTTCCAAGGAGCAGATGGTGGGTTTGAACTATTGACCTTTTGGTTAGCAGTCCAGTGCTTATCCTACAACACCACACGAGAACTCCAGTTATCAAGATTTACACTGAATAGAAGTCAACGTATATCCCTGTATGCCTATCTCTCCCATATATCATTTCAGTAAAATTTTAACAATACATGTTCAGTGTTTCAAAGGTACATATACCTTATTTTATCAGTTCTCATACACAGTTTTTCAGATTTTACCATATCAAAAATTAGAGTATTTCCTACATAAAGTCAATGGTGGGGGTGGGTATGTGCTGTGGAGTCGGTACCAACTCAGCGCCACTGCATAGGTTTCCGAGGCTGTAAATCTTTACAGGAGCAGTAAGCCTCATCTTTCTCCCATGGAACAAGTGGTAGATTCGAACTGCTGACTGTGGTTAGTAGCCCAGTTTGTAACCCACTGTGCTACCAGGTCTCCTCCTTCAGTCAGTAAAGTGTCATTATTTATTGACAGAGGTTGGTTTTTAAATTTTCTTTCTTTAGTACATATAATAAAGGTCTATCTTAATATCAGTGGCATCTTAAATTTGATTAAATACATTATATCTCTAATATTAGCCATGTATCAATGTGCTTAATAGATTAAATTGGAATAAAGAAGTAAGATTTTAAAGCCATGTTGTCCTTTAAAGTTTAGTAGATGAGTGAGGAGTCGATCATAACTTCGCCAGCTGGCTACTGCCCATCTTAATATATGGTTTCCTGTCAGTAGAATAGGAAAAAGCTTCCAGCTTTTAAATTCCTAGCTCTATATACGTATGTATGTATGTTGTTGTTACGTACTGTGGAGTCGGTTCAGACTCATAGCGACCCTGCACAGGGTTTCTGAGGCTGTAAATCTTTACGGGAGCAGAACGCCTCATCTTTCTCCAGCGAACAGCTGGTAGTTTCGAATTGCTGACCTTGAGGTTGGCAGCCTGACTAGTGACCATTACGCTACCAGAGCTCCGTGTGTGTGTGTGTGTGTATACATGTGTGTATATGTATATATGTGTGTATGTATACATATGTATATATGTGTATATGTATATATATATATATATGTGTGTGTGTGTGTGTGTGTGTGTGTGTGTGTGTGTGTGTATGTATACATATGTATATATGTGTATATATATTTGTTTCCAGAGTCTGAGCTCTTTGGATACAGTGGTTCACAAGTATCCATATGTTTTGCATTCTCCTGAGGAGCTGCTTAAAAACCTGGAAGGATGATCTCCTACCTGGACATTCTGATCTAGAAGGTCTGGGGTGGGGTCCAGAGAGCTATGCTTTTAACTGTAAGGTGAATTGTGAGGTAGTTCAAGGTTTCAGAACCACTGGCCTATGAGTTTGGATCCTTTATCCTGTCACGGCAAGGGACTTGAATTTAGAAACTCTGGTCTCAGTACTATGCAAAGGACCCGATTGTGATTTCTGAAAGCAACTATACTGATTAGAGAAAGGCATTTCGACAAGACATTTTCTCTGGGGAAGTAAAATAGAATCATGAATGATATGAATAATGAAGGAACGCAATAAAAATAGATGTATTGATAATATCCTGAGCCCTATTTCTGTGTGGGTTTTTCAGCTGTGCCCCATAAAATCGGACGCATCATTGATGGCAGTCCTGCCGATCGCTGTGCCAAACTAAAGGTGGGAGACCGGATACTAGCCGTGAATGGCCAGTCCATCATCAACATGCCTCATGCAGACATCGTGAAGCTCATCAAAGATGCAGGTCTCAGTGTCACTCTTCGCATCATTCCTCAGGAGGGTGAGTGCCTGAGCCAGTGCTGCAGAGAGGTGACACGTACCCATGTGTTAGCTAACTGGGGTATGCCTGACCTGCCTGCCAGGGGTCTGGTATCCACCTGGCTGCCATTAGTCATGTGTCTGTTACTTACACTTTTACAAGAGCTTCATACTCAGTAAAAACCCATATGCTGGTTACTCGGTACCAATTTCATTCCAAGATCAAACGGTGTGATTTAACAGACTAAAGAGTGTGAATCCCCAGAGACTCAGTTATTCAATCATCCTCTGTGGTCTCGGGGGTACTGTTTTTATGGTTATATTAAACTAGAACCCATTCAACAGAGATGATAGAGTTACAAATCAGGGGTAGGGGGCAGGGGGAGATAACTTCCTCAAGTTCTGGAGGATTCATCAAAGATTGATTTTGAAAAGCTTGAGGAAGTTTTGTGATATGAAGACAGCTCATTTAGAAAAGGTTGCATCTAACAAGAATTGAAAATTCACACTTAGCCTTTTGAATTTGTCTGTGCAAGTACTCCACCCTGAGGTTTAAAGAGTGAGTACCAGGTCCCATAAATTCACCATTTCCAGGTTCAGCTGGATGCAGTATTAGTTTACAGCTACTTATTCATGGATGAGATTTAAGAATGCAGCCCAATCATTCACTGGTTGGGTGGACATTGATGTCCTCCTACACAGAAGGTGATGGGCATCCTCAACTTGGTGCACCTTGGTTCCATCTGTGGACAATGTAGCCTGCAGCCACCTGACTGCAAATATCTAACAGTGCATCTCAACCAGTGGAGCCCTCGTAGCACAATGGTTAAGCACTCAACTACTAACCAAAAGGTCAGCATTTCAAACTCACCAGCTGCTCCACACAGGAAAAGACTTGGTGATCGGTTATCATAAAGATTTCAGCCTAGGAAACCCTATGGGGTAGTTCTACTCTGACCTAAAGAGTTGTGATGAGTCAGAGTGACTCAATGGCACACAGCAAAAATAGCAATGGAACATTTGACAATTATTTGGAGACATTTTGAGGTGTCACAACTGGGAGGGTCCTACTGGCATCTAGTAGGGGAGGCTAGGAATGCTGCAAAATACCCTACAAAGCAGAAGAGAGTCTCCCACAACAACAACAAAAATAGTTCTGACATTTACTACTATAATGTTGACACTACATTGTTGTCTTAAACCAATTACTTTCCTTATATTTGAAAATATGTAACCAACACAAAATACCACAGTGCCAAGATTGAGAAATCCTGATACAAATGGAGGTGAAAGGAAATTATTTGGGCTTGTGAGAAAAGTTAGAGGCAGGGTAGTGTATAAGGAAATGCAGCTAGAACCCATCTCTTAACACCAACATACAAATAAGAAAATGATGGGTTTTTAAACCTGTTGTCTGCAGACACCAATGTGTATAAAATGTTCGATGGAAATTAACTCTACACAAAATTGCTCACTGAAAATCAAACATGTTCCTCAGTCATCCCGGTCTGGGATGCTTCTATCCTGACCCTTATTCCAAAATGTAGAGTTGATTTCAGGTGAAAATTTGATTGGGTGGCAAGAAAATCAAGAAGCAGTTTTAACTGTGTCCCTTGTTCCTTCCAGAGAACTGTTAGGTATAGGGGGTTATTAGGCAATAAGACTGATAAGGGGTGGGGGTAAAGATTGCAAAAGGCATTTGCTTTTACTATGGTTCATTCCCGAACTTTAGAATCCAAGTAAGACATGTCATTACAACCAAAATGTAGCAGCTAAAACATTTTTTTCTCAGCTAGCAGAGCTGAAAAAAAGACTGTTGTAGTGTTTACTCCTAACAGAATTTTTTTTTTTTAAACTGTAATCTTTTGGCAAAATGGCAAGAGATTCTCTTCATAATCTTGTTCAGCAGCAGTTTTAGTTAATGAAAGAATGCTAATTCCGAAGTAGTGTTGAAACTTGCTAAGTTTCACCTGCTATCTTAAAACCTAATAGAAGTAACCAAAATCTTGAGTCTAAAAAAGACAAGATTATTTTGTGAGGGCAAAGAGTGCCACCTCTGACAGACCACCTTTTGCCCTTTGTCAAGTGCCAAGCTGACCATATTCGCCACTGTGATTCCCCATTGCAGAGCTCAGCAGCCCCACCTCGGCGCCCAGCTCTGAGAAGCAGAGTCCGATGGCCCAGCAGCACAGCCCCTTGGCCCAGCCGAGTCCAGCCACCCCCAACAGCCCTGTCGCCCAGCCAGCTCCTCCTCAGCCACTTCAGCTTCAAGGACATGAAAACAGGTACTATTTCCTCCCAATTGTCTTATTTTGAGAGGTGAGGGAGTGAGGGAGATTTTGGGTACAGGGCAGGACACAGGCAGTAAGAGATTTTCCGGAAGTGAAAACTTCCATGTGCATTTGTGTGATTTTGAGATTTGTGTGCGTTATATGTGTGGTTTTACGAGTACAGCTCATTGTCTGTCCTTCACAGTGAGACCCTTTTTTGAAGAAACAGTGAGTGACTGAGGGAATGTTGAGGTTAACTAGCAAAAAAGCATATTGAAGAGAGTCCAGGCCACATAAACAGAACATGTACAAGTCTTTTGGCAGGAAGAAAGATGCAAATATGAAACTCAAAAATAAGATCAATATAGGTTGAGGCAGAGCCAAGATCTGAAATGAATCTAATGAGGGTAGTCAGATCCAGCCAAAGGGCCTTGTAGGCATATCAAGGAGTCCAGTGTGGTATTGTAGGGCAAGCACTGGACTGCTAACTACAAGGTTGGTGGGTCAAAAACCAACCATTTCTCAGAAACCCTATACAACAGGGGTGGGGGATCTTTTTTTTGTCGAAATTGATAACCTCATCCATGGGTCATACGAAATTACTAACTTGAAAATTAGCCTGCTATATTTGGTCAAACATTTAATTAACTCATCCCTAATATGATAGTTGGAGTCCTGGTATGGCGCTGGTGGGTTATTGTGCTGGACTATAAGGTCGATTTGAACTGCAAGGTCAGCAGTTCAAGCTCACCAGCTGCTCCTTGGAAACCCTTACAGGGTGGCTACGAGTTGGAATCGACTTGACGGCACTTAACAACAACAACAAATGTGCTGACTAACAAGCTCTGGTAGTGTAGTGGTTATGAGTCGGGCTGCTAATCTCAAGGTCAGAAACTCAAAACTACCAGCTGTTCTGCAGGAACTAGATGAGGCTTTCTGCTCCTGTAAAGACTGACAGCCTAGGAAAGCCTATGCAGGATCGCTACGAGTCAGAAGTGACTCCACGGCACGTAAACACCATTACCAATGTGATGGCTGGAACTGTGGTTGCCTTGGCAGCACCAGACCAAATGATTTTGCCTTATATAGCCCATGGGCTGGATGTTCCCCACTCATGCTAGACAGAGTTTCTGTGAGTCAGAATCAACTCGAGAGGACTTAACTACAATATCAACTGGCACATTAAAAATGTGTATTTTTATCTTGAGTATACCATCATGTGCCACACAGCACCCATTCAGGAAATGTCTGACTGCATGTATGTCCATAGCCTGTCACACACCCTCTGGGAGATTCCCACAGCCCAACTCAGCACTAAGCCCACCCTACAAAACAGATGTCCCTATCATTGGGAAGAATGGGTGCCCAATCCTGCTCCTGAGGACTCACATGTGGCAAGCATCATAGGATTCAGCCAGGACCAGGGGTACAGGTCAGTGAGACTGTTCCCTTCGTGTCCTGGTGACCTTCCTGGGGCTGTGTGGCCAGCCAGATGCTCACTCAGGTATCCACAGTGTGAGCTGCCCAGACTGCACACCATACAGCAGCCCTCAGCCTGTGTACCCAGGAGCCCCTTGGACCCAGGTATTTATATAACATCCAAATCACATAACGTCCTATTTCACAGAACATATTGTGGGCATTAAGCGATGCCTGGGTGTAGTGGGAAGTCACTAAAGAGACCGATAACATTGGATTTTCTTTTCAACAGATTGGAAGCTGCTGAGAGAGAATACACTAAAGCAGTTAGTTGAGGCTGTTCAGTGAGCCATGAAATGATGTAGTGTGGAGAGGGGAAATGTTGAAGAAATTGTAGGTGTGAATGAATGAATGGGAATATTTGTACTGTTTAGGGTAAGTGCTACTCTTGCATCCTCTACCTACCAGTTGTCATGGTATCAGTCCTGAATCATAGCAGCTCCATGTATGTCAGAGTAGAACTGTGCTCCACAGGGTTTCTGGTGGTTGGTTTTTCAGAATTCCTACTAGATCATCAGACCCTTCTTCTGAGGGTCTTCTGGTTGGACTTGAACCTTGAGCTTTTAGGTTGTTAACTATTTGCCCAAATGCCAAGGACTCCTTTTGTCTCCCTACAAGACTCACTGCATCTCCTGTGATATAAAGAGGCCCTTCCGTTTCACATATAGGGTTAAAGATTGGAATCATGAACAATGTGAATAAGGCACTTTGAGCTTGCAGGAAAAAGGGACAGCATATAAAAACAACACTGTCTTTTTATTGTGTCCTGTGTTTAACGGACTCGGGGTTAGGTGGGACCACTCAAGATAGAAAGGCATGTTCTCATGTTCTTTCCCCCGTTTCAGCTGGAGAAAAACAGCACAGTTCCTGGGAATATCTCTGAATACAAACTCACACTGGTCTTTTCATAATTCTAATCTTTTCTAAACATCTGCTTCCCATCTCCTTCCTCCCATGTTGGTGGAGATGAAGTGAGACCCTGATTTTGATTAAAAGAACTCTCTGGGTCCATCAGTCACATTGTTGAAAAGCAAGTCTTTTCCCTGTGCCACAGGTGTTATTTCCATAAAGCCCTCTTCTACTCTGATTTCCCCATTGCTTTCATAGAAAAGTGAATGCCTGTTGTCCTCAGCTGTTTATGTCTTAGTATATGCCAGGGACTAGAAAAGACTGAGCCCCATAAAGCAAATGATACAGAGGTTAAGACTGTGAAAGCTATAAGAAGAGTAAGTCCTGGGGGCCTCAGTCATGAGTCCCCTACGTTGTTAGCTTTCACCATGTGTTATTTCAGCAGATTGCGCTGGCTTCTCTGAGGGCCCCAGCCCTCCCTGGTCCAGCTTCAAAGATGCCTTTTCTTGGCTGTGACTGTTGATTAACCACCCAATTCCATCCTCACCTTTCCAGAGTCAAACTCCTTTGGACATAGACTTTTGCTTCCAACACAGGGGTGGCTCATCTCACCCCTGGTATAAGTTCAGGGAGTTCTGGTATGGTGCTGTAGGATAAGCACCGGATTGCTCACTGCGAGGTCAGTATTTCAAACCCACCACTGTCTCTATGACTTGGAACCAACTTTACAGCACTTAACAACAGCATCATATTAGTTCAGTGAGAACAGTTGGGTAAGGCTACTATCCTGCTCATGGAGCATTGGTAGTGCGTCATGGTTACGAGTTGGACTGCTAATCTCAGGGTCAGCAGTTCGAAACTACCAGCTGTTCTGCAGGGAAAAGATGAAGATTTCTGCTCCCATAAAGATTTACAGCCTCGGAAGCCCTATACGGGGTCAGTATGAGTTGGAACCGACTCCACGACACATAACCACCACCACTATCCTGTTTCATCTGCTGCTAATTCCTATCTGGGATTTCTTGGTCCCTTAACAGAAGCAAATACTCTGGATTTTTTCCCCTATCTTCCTGACCACAGAATAAAACATTTCGTAACTCTGGATTAATAGATCAAGCTGACCCAGTCTTTTTATAAATCACTGTATTTACCCAGATTTCTTAGTTGTGTTTCTTCAATAATACTAAAAGCCTAGAAACACCCACTCCAATTTCTACGGCCCTGTACTGGCATTCTGGTGCCCTCACTTAGCTGGATAATTGTGGTTGGGTATGTTGTTGCATATGAATAAAATCAGTAATCTTATAGTTACCAGAAACCTGTTCCTACCTGCCTTTAAAAGGAGCCTTGGTAACAAAGGGAAAACGGCTTTTTTTCCAGAACAAGCTGGAGATGTCTTCAAGACAGCTTATATGCAAAGCATACACTACGAATTTCTTACTAGTTGATTTGCACAAGGAGTGCCCACATACATGTCAAATTGAGCCAGTTCTCATGTTAGAGACGGATGAAATCAAGTGACAATCTGCTTGTAAATTTCTATTTTGTGAGGATGAGTGAATATTTTGTCCTGGTTTAATTAATCTTGGTTTGACTTCCTACTAATACTCTGTGTGCACATTCCTACCCATTTCTTTGTTCCTTAACATCCTTTTCGATGTGTTCAGAGAACAGAAAACAATTGTAATATGAACATAAAACACGAATCAAGGAGAAGTATTTGTTGAAAACACCACAAGAGTCACTATACTCCAAAATGAAGTACAGAGAGCAGAGTTCATCTTCCCCAGCAAAGGGAATACTCCCATGATGATTGACTGCTTTCCAAAGACCAGAGAAGAACATTGAGAATTGACTTCTTTCACCCAGACATGGGATCCTAGATGCTCAAGAAACAGATGCTTGATGTGCCCACATGATGTACAATCCTAACATAAGACCCTCTACTATATGGACAATGCTTTGTAGTGTGGGAACTTTGTCAGACATTTTCAAACCTGCAAGAATTTACCATTAATCTGGTTTATTTTGACCCTGTAGGAAAAGCACTGGACTGCTGCTATCTTCAAGGTCAGTGGTTCAAACACACCAGTGGCTCATCATACACAGTTTCTTTAATAGTGGCATAATAACTATCAGTTTTCCTAACTAAACGATCTCTTTAAAAATGTTCATAAGAGTTGTTGTTGGTTTTTTAAAAAAGAATCCTGAATTTTCCTCAAATAAAGTGTTCCAAAGATTCAAAACAAGGAACTCTGGTAGTTAGTTAGTGGTTTGAATCTGACTGTTAACCTCAAGGTCAGCAGTTCGAAACTATCAACAATTCCATGGGGGAAAGGTGAGGCTTTCTGCTCCTGTAAAGATTTACAGCCTCAGAAACATCATACAGGGTTCGCTATTGAGTCAGAACCAACTTCACCACACACCATTACCAAAGATTCAAAACAGCATTCATTTTGGCCCTAGCCAAAATATAACTCACTTAATATTTGGCAACACTAATAATTAACCATATTTTCCTTATTAACGCATTCTTCAACATGCAGTTCAACTTAAAATCATGACACTAAAGTATAGTGAAGTTTGAGTGCTGTAGTTAGGTCTGGATGACAGCTGTTGCCAATTTTGACCATGCTTTTTTCCAGTCTTTTGCTTAATCTTTGAGGAGACGCCTACATTTCACCCCATTTTGTGGTGCCTCATATGGATCTGGTAGGAAATGAAACACATAATGGATATTTCATGCCAGTAGCAAACAGAAGATGAGAATAAGGTGACTGCAGTATAACAGAAAACAAAGTGACATCAAGCCACCAAGCAAGCTATTTCTGGAAAGGAACAGACACACACTAGAAAATGTCACCCAGTTCAATTCCTTTTGTTAAACGCATATATTTGCATAGTTAAGCATCTTAGTCAAAGCATATTTTGAATAATTCTGTTCTCAGCATGCACACTCAGTAGGTGAGTGGACAGCTTGCTAAGGTAGAAAGTAGTCTGAATTATGCAACTCACAAAAGGAACGTCTCACCTCTGCAGGGTGACATAGCAAATGGGACCTCCTCAAAGGTTGATTAAAATAACTACATTACTAACCCTTTTCCAAGAACTTCAAATAAACGCCTGGACTGCCATGTACTTTCAGTGTGTTCTCACCAAATATTAGGTTGCACTAATGGCAATTGTTCAGGTGAGGTTTTTTAAAAAATATTTAACAGTCATCAGCATGATTAAGACCAAGAGCTGGTTTGTTTTTTTAAAAATCTACTCTTACAGGTAAATCAAAATAGGTTTTGAACCTGTTTTCTTCATACATTTCAGCTTTTCATTGGTATGAAATATTTTCTCAATTCCTAATATCCTCCATATTAATTTAAGATGAAATAATTTTACAGAATGTATTGTTAAACCTACCTAAATCCCCGAGCATCTCATTGAAGACTGTTGCCACGACAGTAAGCAATGAACTACCAAATTAGATGGGCTCTATATCAATAATCCTGCCAAATATGTCCCTTTCCTACTTGGAAAAACACTTTATTGGATCACTGGTGTAAGATAAACACTGGACTGCTACCTGCAAGGTCAGTGGTTCATACTCACCAGCCATTGCTCTGAAACTCATTGTTGTTTAGTGCCATGGAGTCTGTTCTGACTCATAGCAACCCTGCATAAGGTTTCCAAGGAGCAGCTAGTGGGTTTGAACCACCAACCTTGAGGTTAGCAATCTAATGTTTATTGTCTAGTGCCATACCAGAACTCTAGAAACCCTAGATAGGGTTGCTATGTGTTGGAACTGACTGGACAACACTTAACAAGGTATCATTAATTAATCTTTTTTTGCTGTTATTTTCTTATCAAAGGTCCCATAATCATTGCTACTGACTATTAGTCCCCTTTTAGAACTGAACACCTACACACACACACACACACACACACACACACACACACATACGTAAGCTTAGAGCAGTCTGAATCCACAAAACAGCACAAAACTCCTGGTCTGGCCTCTGTATTTATTTTCTTAGTAATTATATCTTGAAACAAGCAGAGAACAAATGCTGGACAGAAACACATTTGCCTCCCCTTCCAGTTTATGGCCTTGGTAATCTCCGACAGTAATCTCAAAAGCTATATTCTATTATTTAATCTCTGAGTAATGTGTTTCTTCTTTTACCAATAACCCAGTGATTCACTTGATTTGTAGTTGACGTTTCTACCTTGTTATCAGTCCATTTAGCCCTTGTATTCAGAAAATCCTAACACCTCGAGGTTACTTAGTCTCCAGTTACATATTTGTGACGTATTTAGAGATCAGTTCAATGTGTTTTCAAGAAGTTATGAATGATTTGCCAAGCGGTGTGTATGTGGGTGGGAGAGAGAATGAGGGTTTAAAGAGTTGGTTTACTGGTATTAAGGCTGACTGGTATCATGAGGAATGTGAGGATTTAATCCCCTAGTTTGTTATGGTTGTACAGCTTTGAAATAGCCAACGTGAAACAGGTATCTGTGAGTCTTTTCCCACAAAGTTCTGGTTAAACTATCGTTTTCACCTGGATTTCTTAATGAACCAAATGAAAAAATATACAATTTGACATTTGTCAAAATGCTTAAGTAATATTTATTTAATCTCAGAATCCTGAACATGCGAAAAGACCCTCAAGAAAATCTACGGCTCTCATGAAGGGTCATGTGGTTATTCTAGTCTCCTTAGAATGCAGAAATTGCAAAGAGATCCCTATTTCCGTTTGTTTAGTTACAGGTCAGAAGTAAAAGCCAGGCAAGATGTGAAGCCAGACATCCGACAGCCTCCATTCACAGACTACCGGCAGCCCCCACTGGACTACCGGCAGCCCCCTGGAGGGGACTACCAGCAGCCCCCGCCCTTGGACTACAGGCAGCCACCGCTGTTGGACTACAGGCAGCACTCCCCGGACACCCGGCAGTACCCTCTGTCAGACTACCGGCAGCCCCAGGTACCTCGGCCCTGAAACCATGGCAGGCCTGTGCCCACCCAGGAGGCAGGGGCAATAGTACCATTCCGGGACAGAGACCCTGCGTTTACTGTCAGCACGGGGATTCCCTCATCCTTAAAACTGTCTGGACAAATAGAGGTTTTGGAATAAATGGCATAACACTACATGCATGCACACATACATAGAAACATATGTGCAAACACACACATGGTGGATAAGTGATTATGGATTGAACTAATTCCAGCTGATATAGCTAATTCCTGGCATAGTGCGTTTTCAAAGTTTTAAATGCTCTCATCTGAGACCTCAGAGCATGTGGCTAATGCAGGAAAATTTTCCCGATGCCAACAGTGAAGGGATTTTAGGTCCATAATTATTTTAGGTCCATAATTATAAGCCTTCTTACCTGTAAATTAGGAGCCCTAATGTCACTGTAGGATAAGCACGGAGCTGCTAACCACAGCAGTTCAAACCCATAACCTCTCCACAGCAGAGGTTTACTATCTTGGAGACCATGTAATACGGCCGCTATGAGTCAGAACCGACTTGATGGCAGTGGGTTTGGTATGGTTTGGTACCAGTATAAGTCCCTCAGTGTATGGATAAGGCCAACCATCCTTTATTTAAAATCTGGCAACAGTCTTCCAGGGTGCCACCTCTGTACCAGCCACCAAGCCACTGTCTATACACAGTGTAGGTGCTGTTAACAGTTTGACTAACTGGTACAGTGGAGGCATCCCCAGGGGACTTCCTGAAGCTGAGTTTCAGTTTCCTAAAGGGAGGGGGGGTCCACCTTACAAGCCATGTAAGGATCCAATCAGATACATTGGTGGCAAGGTCTATGCCAGAACTTGGCATTTAGCAAATGTTGAATACTTGGTAACTAGATACAAAGATGTAAGTACCATTTCAACTCTATGCGATTTCATTGTGTTTTATCATGAATTTAAGATCACCTTATCCCCAAAGATGTAAAGATGAATATTAAAAGTTGGTGAATAGTGGACATAATATATTTATGCAGATGAGAAATTGCAGTTCATGCCTCAACTTGATATTCAGCATCTGGGCAACTGAAAGCTAAAGAAAAATCCTGTTAAATTTTACTTCTCAGTAAACCCTGTAATTTACAGATATCACACACACACACACACACACACACACACATTACTTTGACACAATTATTATTATATTTTATGCAACAATTACATGTTTGCCAAGTAAACTGATTTATACCAAAGTAAACAGGCCACAATGTAGCTCTTTTAATGGCTAAATCGACTGCATTCTGATATGCTCAGAGGGTTTGGAATTTGGGCTGACGTTTTGTTAAATTTTCATATCAGATTACTTCTCCTCACAAGGTCAAATCATTTGGAGCATATCAACCATGAGAGAGGAAAATGAAGAGTCTGATCATAGAAGCTTCTCTGATATGTAATCATTGTTTATTCCTACCCTTGAAGGATTTTGATTATTTCACTGTGGACATGGAGAAAGGAGCCAAAGGGTTTGGATTCAGCATCCGTGGAGGAAGGGAATACAAAATGGATTTGTACGTGTTGAGACTGGCAGAAGATGGGCCAGCGATACGGAATGGAAGGATGAGGGTAAGAGCAGTCTGTTTCTGTTGTAGACCTGCTTAATCCTGAATGGAACACCCAGTGTGGTATTAGACTAATGTTGAAACATGCTATCAAACACATAGACTTAACACAGGTTTTGCCTTCCTTTCGTTCCATAACCTAATTTTTAAAGATTTAAGCAAATACTATTTAACAATTCTAATATCTGTAAATATAGTTCATCTAAGGAGAAAAACTAAATAAAATAAGCAATGAAAAAAATCTAAAAAGTTAGCTTAAAATGGAAACATGGCTCCATCATTTTTTCTATAGTTTGATAATTCCATTTTATTTTGTTATTGAATCTCTTGAAATGCGTCTTTGGTTTTGTGAGGGTTGTTTCCCACATTTATTAGCGTTTCTTTGAAATCTCTTCTGTGTTGGTTGGTCTTCTGGCTTTGATGTTTACAGATTAGGCTTCTTGGATACACATTGGCCTTTAAAGTGGTATTGGAAAATTTCCCATTGAAGTATCAATTCAGAGTGGAGTTTTTCAGTTAATAGCTAATATGAGGCATCAGATTGATGGGGAATTGACTCTTCATCTAAAAGTGCAAAACAAAACTTGGTAACAATATATACCATTGGTCTGTGTCTGTAAAGTTACAGCTAGTAAGCACATAATAAACCCATTGCCATTGAGTCAATGCCAATTCATAAAGACCCTTTAGGATGGAGAACTGCCCTCATAAGATTTCCCAAGTTGTGATCTTTATGGAAATAGAACATCACATCTTTGTCTAGCAGAGCGGCCACTGCTCTATCGTTTGGTAGCTGAGCACTGTAACCACTGCATCACCAGGGTTAATAATACATAACCATGTGCATAATGGTGGTGGTGGTGGTGGTTATGTGCCCTGGAGACAGTTCTGACTCATTGCGACCCTGTGTAGGGTTTCTGAGGCTGTAAATCTTTATGGGAGCAGGAAGCCTCATCTTTCTCCCGTGGAACAGCTGGTAGTTTCAAATTTCTGACCTTGAGATTAGCAGCCTGATTTGTAACCACTATGCTACCAGAGCTCCTTAAGTGCATAATAAAGTTTAGTTATTTGTATAAATTGAATCTTGAACTCCTCCAATCCATGAATTAACGCAACAAAGCTGTGGCTTTCAGGTCCTGGAACCTTAGAATCTTGTGCTGAGCCTCACCAATGAACTGCTCCTGGATAAGTGAATGGGAGTTCATGGATATAATATATTCCTACCAACAAGTCTACTGTTTCTCTAATTTGAATTTCCATATCAAGGAACTGTCCACCTTAGAAACTGAGAACCAAGGAATTGTCTACGAAAAAAACTTGAAAGAAAGCAATGCCTGTTTTGCTCCTTCTTTCCAAACTCCTTTGACAACTAGAAAGCATCAGTGCTGGAATGTGAAAACAGACAGAGCCCAGCAGCCCCAACCCTGATGCAACACTGGCCTCCCCTTACCCTGTCTAGAGGTGGTTCTGACCTTAGAACCACATGGCTTCTTGGATGCCTATAAACCAGAAGGACATCTTAACATGCTGCAAGGCCAGTTTACAAGTGGTTAAACAGAACAAAATTCTTCTTTGCCATGGGAGTAAATTCAACATGGCACAAAGGCCCTGGCAATCCTGCCACACACAATCCAATAGGGTGTCCCCTGGTGGATATGCAAGGTGGTCTATGTGGGTTGTTGTTAAGTGTCATCAAGTGGGTTCTGACTCACAGTAATCCTGTGTAAGGGTTCTGAGGAGCACTTGGTGGGTTTGAACCACCATCCTTGTAGTTAGCAGCCCAGTATTTATCTTACAGTGCCACACTGGTCATCTATTCCAAATAATGGCTATCCTTGTTAACAAGGGGTCTAAATAGCTGGCTTAGAATATACAGTTCTCTTAAGTCAAAGAAGCCTCAATCTAGAAGTATCTTTTGTTAAAAAAAAAAGAGAGATTTTTCTTATAAAATATAAAACTGTGGTCCTCAATGTATTCCCTACACAAGCAGCCTCAGAATCACCTGGGAACATGATAGAAATGCAAATTCTAGAGCTCTGCCCTAGGTCCGCAGAATCCAAAACTCAGGGATGGGGCCAGCAATCTGTTTTTAGCAAGCCCTTCAGGTGAATCTGGTGTGTTTAAGAACAGCTGAGCTAGAGGAAGCTGTTGTAATAGGTAGGATTTGTGTGGTACAGGCTTTGTTAGTCCCACCTACGTCCTCACCTAAGGAGATTTCCATCCAATTCCAGCAGTTTACTTGAGTTCCTTAATCCATGTAAACACAGATTTAGAAATCTGTAGGCAGATGCTCAATTTTATGAACGATGCCTTTTTTTCTGGCAGGTGATGAAAATTATTTCTGTAACTGGGATGCTGAAAAAAGTATGCTCACTTCTGCTCAGGGAGAAAATGGACCATCACTTCCTCTGCTATGTGTATAAAACAACCCATTCTTTAAATGTATAGACTATGCAGAAAGAATTATTGTGGCCAAAGTTAGATAATATATTCTAATGTTGTAGGTTCTTCTCACTCACGGATTCCCAGAGTACCAGACTCCTACCAGGGAAAGAAGCTATTTCATGATGTAAATTTAAAAGAGCTCTTATTATTTATGGTCAGAATTAGATTTTTACTTTATCTAAAACTCAATATGGCACATGATTAATTCAGATTCTGTATTTTTTCAATATCAATTTATTATTTCAGGTCTATCTGTTCTACCTTCATTGTTGTTGTTGTTAAGTGCCATCAAGTCAGTTTTGACTTGTAGCAGCCCTGTATAGGGTTTCTGAGGAATCGCTGGTGGGTTTGAACTGCCTGCCTTATGGTTCCCAGTCCAGTGCTGACCCTAGAGAGCCACACCAGGAACTCATACCTTATAACGTATAAATATTGATAATGTTGTTGTTAAGTGTCATGGAGTCAGTCCCAATTCATAGCAACCCTGCATAGGATTTCCAAGGAGTGACTGGTGAGTTTGAACCACTGATCTTATGATTAGCAGTCCAGTGCTTATTCTACAGCACCATTTCAGCAAGGGCATAAGATCAGTCAGTATTTACATGACTTAATGGCTTGAACCACCACTCTCTAGTCAGTCTGTTGTACTGTGGTGGCTTTCATGTTGCTGTGATGCTGGAAGCTATGCCACTGGTATTTTAAACAAGCAGGGTCACCCATGATGGACAAGGTTTCACCTGAGCTTCCAGACCAAGACATCTAGCAGAAAGAACAGAAGCCACTGAAGATGTTATGAAGTGCAGTGGAACACTCTTATATGGCACCAGAATATTGAATATTGAAACATTATGAATAACACCATAACATTGTCAGATATAGTGCCTGAAGATGAGCACCTCGGGTTGGAAGGCCCTCAAAATGTGACTGGGAAATGCTGCCTCCTCAAAGTAGAATTGAACCTGATGACATGAATGGAGTAAAGCTCTCAAGACCTTCATTTGCTGATGGGGCACAACTCAAAATGAGGAGAAAAAGCTGTAAACATACATTAATAATTAGAACATGGAATGTATGAAGTATGCAGCCAGAAAAATTGGAATTTGTAAAAAATGAGATAGAATACATAAAGACCAACAATATCCTAGGCATTAGTGAGCTGAAATGGCCTAGTATTGGCCATTTTTAATATGACAATAATGTGGTTTACTATGCCAGGAATGACAAACTGAGGAGGAATGGTGTGTCATTCATCATAAAACACAACATCTCAAGATCTATCTAGAAGTACAATGCTGTGTGTGATAGGATAATAGCCATATGCCTACAAGGAAGACCAGTTAATAAGACTATTATACATGCACTAACCACTAAAGCCAGTGATGATGAAATGGAAGAATTCTATGAAATGGAAGAATTCTACCAACTTCTTCAGTCTGAAATTAATGAAACAAGCAACCAAGATGTAATGATAATTACCAATGATTGGAATGTGAAGGTTAGAAACAAAGAGGACAGCTCAATAGTGAGAGACTATGACCTTAGTGATAGAAATGATGCTGGAGATTGCATGATAGAATCTTGTAAGACCAATGACTTCTTCATTCTAAGTATGTAATTTAAACAACATAAAAGACAACTGTACACATGGACCTCACCAGATGAAATACACAGAAATCAAATCAACTATATCTATGGGCAGAAATGGTGAAAAAAGCCAAAACAAGTCCTGGACAGACTGTGGAACAGACCATCACTTACTCATATGCAAATTCAGGCTGAATATGAAGAAAATGAAAACAAGTCCATAAGAGCCAAACTGTGACCTTGAACATATGCCACCTGAATTTAGACGTCATATGTAGAACAGATTTGATGCATAACACACTAAAGACTGAAGACCAGGAGAGTTGTGGGATGACATCAAGATCATCATCCAGGAAGAATGCAACAGTTCATTAATAAGACAAGAAAGAAGCAAACGACCAAAATGGATGTCAAAATAGACTCTGAAACTTGCTCTCCAGCATAGAGATGCTAAAGCAAATGGAAGAAATGAGGAGGTAAAAGTGCCGAACAGAAAATTTCAAAGGGTTGCCCCAAAAGACAAAGTATTATAATGAAATGTGCAAAGACCTGAAGTTAGAAAACCAAAAATGAAAACACGCTCAGCATTTCTCAAGCTGAAAGAACTGAAGAAAAATGCAAGCCTCAACTTGAAATATAGAAAGATTCTATAGGCAAAATATTGAATGATGAGGGAAGCTTCAAAAAAAAAAAGATGGAAGGAATATACAGAGTCACTGTACCAAAAAGAATGGTTGATTTCCAACTATTTCAAGAGGTTAGCATATGATCAAGATCCAGTGGTACTAAAGGAAGAAGTCCAGGGTATCCTGAAGGTATTGGCAAAGAACAAGTTTTCAGGAATTGATGGAATACAAATTGAAATTGTTCAACAAAGTGATGCAACACTGGAGGGTTTTCATCATGCCAAGAGATTTGGCCAAGTGATTGGAAGAGATTCATATCTGAGCCCATTCCAATGGAATGCAGAAATTA